CTGACAATGCCACTTGTGTCTGACAATGCCATATGTGTCTGACAATGCCATATGTGTCTGACAATGCCACTTGTGCCTGACAATGCCACTTGTGTCTGACAATGCCACTTGTGTCTGACAGTGATACTTGTGTCTGACAGTGATACTTGTGTCTGACAATGCCACATGTGTCTGACAATGCCACATGTGTCTGACAATGCCACATGTGTCTGACAGTGATACTTGTGTCTGACAATGCCATATGTGTCTGACAATGATACTTGTGTCTTACAATGCCACATGTGCCTGACAATGCCACATGTGTCTGACAATGCCACTTGTGTCTGACAGTGATACTTGTGTCTGACAATGCCACATGTGTCTGACAATGCCACATGTGTCTGACAATGCCACTTGTGTCTGACAATGATACTTGTGTCTGACAATGATACTTGTGTCTGACAATGCCACATGTGTCTGACAGTGATACTTGTGTCTGACAGTGATACTTGTGTCTGACAATGCCATATGTGTCTGACAGTGCCACATGTGTCTGACAATGCCACTTGTGTCTGACAATGCCACTTGTGTCTGACAATGCCACTTGTGTCTGACAGTGCCCTTTGTGTCTGACAATGATACTTGTATCTGACAATGCCACATGTGTCTGGCAATGCCACATGTGTCTGACAATGCCACTTGTGTCTGACAATGCCACTTGTGTCTGACAATGCCACATGTGTCTGACAATGCCACTTGTGTCTGACAATGCCACTTGTGTCTGACAGTGATACTTGTGTCTGACAATGCAACATGTGTCTGACAATGCCACATGTGTCTGACAATGCCACTTGTGTCTGACAATGATACTTGTGTCTGACAATGCCACATGTGTCTGACAGTGATACTTGTGTCTGACAGTGATACTTGTGTCTGACAATGCCATATGTGTCAGACAATGCCACATGTGTCTGACAATGCCACATGTGTCTGACAGTGATACTTGTGTCTGACAATGCCATATGTGTCTGACAATGATACTTGTGTCTGACAATGCCACATGTGCCTGACAATGCCACATGAGTCTGACAATGCCACTTGTGTCTGACAGTGATACTTGTGTCTGACAATGCCACATGTGTCTGACAATGCCACATGTGTCTGACAATGCCACATGTGTCTGACAATGCCACTTGTGTCTGACAGTGATACTTGTGTCTGACAATGCCACATGTGTCTGACAATGCCACATGTGTCTGACAGTGATACTTGTGTCTGACAATGCCACTTGTATCTGACAATGCCACATGTGTCTGACAATGCCACATGTGTCTGACAATGATACTTGTGTCTGACAATGCCACTATGTATGTGGATACTCCCATCATTATCATGTAGGAATATTGATTTTGTCCCTCTATGGGTAATGAAACCATGCACTCACTCCCTCAACATATACTCAGCCACTTTGTAAATACTGCCTTTTGAAGAGTGATACACAATTAAAACATGAATTAATGCACGTGTCCGTGTACCATGTAGCATATTGTCAAGTGTAAATGGGCATCGATGCAGCAGTGAATTCAACTAAATCAGTATTTAAAACTTATCAGATACATCCGGACCTGTGTAGCGGAGTGTTCCTGTTGGTTGTAAGTTTGAATCCCAGAATGGCCTCGATCTGGAACCTTGGTCTGCCGGCACCAGTCTTGCCAAAATCTTTGAGTCTACGAGGCCGAACCTGTCTGCTCTCTTGATCTCATTTTCAGTAGATATAAGTGTTAATGTAAAGACTTGTATGAGCAATGCGTACTAGAACAATAGAACTCGTACTTACATGGAGGGTACGGACTCGTGGCTAAAGTTACAGACTGGTCTCCCATGCTCACAAGACCTGAGCCACTTTGACTGGACGTTCTACTAGAAAAACTGATAACTATGATCTGAAAGACATTTTGTCTCTTTAAACTGCCCTTAATCCTGACAAACGTAACTAGCCACTTGACATGTCAATGGAGTCTAACAGATTTTGCGTTTTGAATTTTGATATTTTTGTCCAAGTAGTTGGGATGAAGATTGTTTTATTGAAGATTGTTTTATTAAGACCCACCTCCCATCCATACAAAAGTATTTAAAGTATTTTTTACAATAATAAATATATTTTTAGTCAGGAGTGTATAAAAAAATCCCAGTCCCTTAAGTTAATAAGCATTTTTTTTGTCCTGATAGGTAGAATTTATAATCATTGTTGAACAAATATTACTATATCTATCTATATGTGTGTGTGGAAGTACATGGATCGATGTTTGTTTCATTAAAAGAATGTTTTGGATGGCAATATGTACCTCAATTTCGTATGCTGTCACCTTTGAAAAGATAGTTTCATCAAGAAGTAAGCGTGGAAGTGAAACAACATGGTGTTGTGAGAATTAATGATGTCAACACACTTTGATAGGGGTTAGGGCTGGGATGAGTCCAACATTTCTACCCGGTAACCAAACCCCCTATCACAAGACCCCACCGGGTACCCGCTGCAGGTCTCAAGATATGCATAGGTATAAAATGTTTGATTGGGAATTGTTTGACCGAAGGCCTGGCAAAATGTATTTGATATAAAACGATCTCATCATGCATATACTGAAGTTGACTGTATTCAAAAATATGAAAGTCAGAAGGAATGGGTGCATGATCAGAAAGAAATGCTAAAATTAGTGACTTCTAGTGTAACCATGGAGTTTAAGATAATGTTTGTCATGAAACAATATATAACGTGACTAGCCAGGAATCTGGGTAGACCTGTTTGGTAGTACAGTTCAACACCCGGGACCTACTCTGCACCCGAGCACCTGGGTTATCTGCCCCAGCCCCAATAGGGGATCAGCTCCATGGCTGCAGACTCACTGGCCAGTTGGCGCTACTGCTAGAGTTGCTGGACTTCGAGTTATCCGTCCCAGCCCCAATAGGGGATCAGCTCCATGGCTGCAGAATCACTGGCCAGTTGGCGCTACTGCTAGAGTTGCTGGACTTCAAGTTATCCGTCCCAGCCCCAATAGGGGATCAGCTCCATGGCTCCAGACTCACTGGCCAGTTGGTGCTACTGCTAGAGTTGCTGGACTTCGAGTTATCCATCCTAGCCGCAATAGGGGATCAGCTCCATGGCTGCAGACTCACTGGCCAGTTGGTGCTACTGCTAGAGTTGCTGGACTTCGAGTTGTCCATCCTAGCCGCAATAGGGGATCAGCTCCATGGCTGCAGACTCACTTGCCAGTTGGCGCTACTGCAAGAGTTGCTGGACTTCGAGTTATCCGTCCCAGCCCCAATAGGGGATCAGCTCCATGGCTCCAGACTCACTGGCCAGTTGGTGCTACTGCTAGAGTTGCTGGACTTCGAGTTATCCATCCCAGCCCCAATAGGGGATCAGCTCCATGGCTGCAGAATCACTGGCCAGTTGGTGCTACTGCAAGAGTTGCTGGACTTCGAGTTATCCGTCCCAGCCCCAATAGGGGATCAGCTCCATGGCTCCAGACTCACTGGCCAGTTGGTGCTACTGCTAGAGTTGCTGGACTTCAAGTTATCCGTCCCAGCCCCAATAGGGGATCAGCTCCATGGCTGCAGACTCACTGGCCAGTTGGCGCTACTGCTAGAGTTGCTGGACTTCAAGTTATCCGTCCTAGCCGCAATAGGGGATCAGCTCCATGGCTCCAGACTCACTGGCCAGTTGGTGCTACTGCAAGAGTTGCTGGACTTCCATTTAGAAGGCAGTATGAAGACATGTTCATGTCCAGTCATGGGATTCAGTTGAATGTTCTGCTTAACTGTGTTCTTCACAATGCCGAGTTTGTTACAGTCAGGGTAATTACAGAAACAAAGGCGTGTCACTGAAGGGGTTAATTGGCTTGTTGTGTCCCCATCCAGGGGCCATATAAAAATACTTAATTGAATTTTGTGTGAAATGTTTTTATGATGTTAAAGGTAAAGAAATTGATAGCTTTTGTAGGTTTGGTTTTGTAAAATGAAACTTAAGAGTAAAAATTAGTTTTTTAAGATAAAAGCTCTGAATTTTAATAGCAAAAACTGTAATTCAATACATAATTGGGGACATGGTCAATTGATTAATTAGCAGTGTTTTATAATGTTCATGTCAGGGCCCTTTGTTTTACATATGTACTGGGATTGATTAGCTGACTCTTGGAGTGCCTTCAGTGGCAGTATATAAATATTTTATTAGGCGCTGAACTTTGACATTAGTCCGATTATTTCAGCATTATTGATTCAAGTCCCTCGTGGGGGAATGTCTATAAAAGCTTACAGGTCGTCCTTAGAACTAAAGCTGGTGTAAGACCTGAGTTGTAGAGAGGTCTGGACTAGACCATGTTTGGATGCCATCGGGGGCAGTCCAGAGGTAGGAACTTTGGCAACGCACTTGATGAAATGTATTAGGGCTTCATGGCCTTTTTGGGGTGTTTTTCGTGGGAATGGAACATTGTTTTTATTGATGTTGCTTTTTTGTAGAATCCTGAGTATTAAGATGATGTGTTCTTTAACCTGATTTTTGTGATGGTTTATTGATTTTATGTGACCTTTTGACTAATTGTGATTTTTGTGGTATTGGGTTGTTGGTGTGGGTTATTGATTAAGTTTGTTTCAGCTGACATTTTTTGTTAAACTCCTCTTAGCAATATTTCATGTGTGATGGTGTTCTGTAAATAGTTGAGTCTGGGCCAGACAATTCAGTGATTGTTTCAGTGAGCCACAATGAATGCCGCGAGGCTCCGATGACATGAAATTTACTTAGTCACGCTGCCGGACCACTCAATCCATTTGGTCGCCTATTACAACCAACGATTGATGATGATATTTCAAGAAAGAAAAGATTACTTTAGGGGAATTTTTTTTGTCATCTAAAACATGAGAAATCATGATGGAAGACTTCAATGCATTATTTGGCTGTAGATCAATTTTCAGGAACAAGAAAATTGAAAAATGTAAGAATTCTTTATGACCTTCTATGTTTGTTTCAGGTTATAACCCCCTTCAGAAACCTCATCTTGTGCAGTGATTCTCGCAGGGAAATGGAGGAGTGGATTAGTGCTTTAAAAATGGCTGCCAACAAAGAATATTACGAGGTGAGTACAAAACTGCTATTTCAAAAACATGCTCTTAAAGTTTTTGAGCGTTTGCTAAATGGTATTTGTTTGTTGAAGATGGAGGTCAACAGATGTCTTTTTGAGGTAGGTAAAAAACAGTGAAGCTGGTCGGTAGTGGAATGCTTAGACGTTTAGATGCCACTGTGAGAATCAAGAATAGTTTTGTCATGGACCTTTAGTTGGCGTTTAGATGCAATGGCAAGTGGTGGTATTGATGGCAACTACTGCAGTTTCATCGGATCAGGGCTGACCCTTGGCCTGAATGTTTGGCTATGCAGAGTTGTTTCCCTTAGGTCAAGGATCCATTAGTTTTGGATTTGAGTCCCAGAATGTTTCATTGTAGTCCTTGGTCTGTGAGCACTGTCCATGTGATCCTCAGTTTCATCCAACTGTAATGGGGCCCAGGTTGCTAAGTCGTTTGAGGTGTTGCAAGTTGTGTCCCTTAGGAATTCTATGATCCTAAGATTGTGGGTTCTGTCAGGTTGCCCCAGTGGCGTGGGTGTGATGGTGCCCCAGTAGCGTGGGTGTCATTGTACCTGGTGGAGTGGGTGTCATTGTGCCTGGTGGAGTGGGTGTCATTGTGCCTGGTGGAGTGGGTGTCATTGTGCCTGGTGGAGTGGGTGTCATTGTGCCTGGTGGAGTGGGTGTCATTGTGCCTGGTGGAGTGGGTGTCATTGTACCTGGTGGAGTGGGTGTCATGGTGCGCCGAGGGTGTGGGTGTGATGTTGCCCCAGTAGCGTGGGTGTCATTGTGCCTGGTGGAGTGGGTGTCATTGTGCCTGGTGGAGTGGGTGTCATTGTGCCTGGTGGAGTGGGTTTCATTGTGCCTGGTGGAGTGGGTGTCATTGTGCCTGGTGGAGTGGGTGTCATTGTGCCTGGTGGAGTGGGTGTCATTGTGCCTGGTGGAGTGGGTGTCATTGTGCCTGGTGGAGTGGGTGTCATGGTGCGCCGAGGGTGTGGGTGTGATGTTGCCCCAGTAGCGTGGGTGTCATTGTGCCTGGTGGAGTGGGTGTCATTGTGCCTGGTGGAGTGGGTGTCATTGTGCCTGGTGGAGTGGGTGTCATTGTGCCTGGTGGAGTGGGTGTCATTGTGCCTGGTGGAGTGGGTGTCATTGTACCTGGTGGAGTGGGTGTCATGGTGCGCCGAGGGTGTGGGTGTCATGGTGCCCCAGTAGCGTGGGTGTCATTGTGCCTGGTGGAGTGGGTGTCATTGTGCCTGGTGGAGTGGGTGTCATGGTGCGCCGAGGGTGTGGGTGTGATGTTGCCCCAGTAGCGTGGGTGTCATTGTGCCTGGTGGAGTGGGTGTCATTGTGCCTGGTGGAGTGGGTGTCATTGTGCCTGGTGGAGTGGGTGTCATTGTGCCTGGTGGAGTGGGTGTCATTGTACCTGGTGGAGTGGGTGTCATGGTGCGCCGAGGGTGTGGGTGTCATGGTGCCCCAGTAGCACGGGTGTCAGGTTGCCCCAGTGGCATGGGTGTCATGGTGCCCAAGTAGCATTGGTGTCAGGTTGCCCCAGTGGCGTGGGTGTCATGGTGCCCCAGTACCACGGGTGTCATAGTGCCCCAGTAGCACGGGTACCATGGTGCCCCAGTACCACGGGTGTCATGGTGCCCCAGTAGCACGGGTACCATGGTGCCCCAGTACCACGGGTGTCATGGTGCCCCAGTAGCACGGGTGTCATGGTGCCTCAGTAGCACGGGTACCATGGTGCCCCAGTACCACGGGTGTCATGGTGCCCCAGTAGCACGGGTGTCATGGTGCCTCAGTAGCACGGGTACCATGGTGCCCCAGTACCACGGGTGTCATGGTGCCCCAGTAGCACGGGTGTCATAGTGCCCCAGTAGCGTGGGTATCATGGTGCCTCAGTAGCACGGGTGTCATAGTGCCCCAGTAGTGTGGGTGTCAGGTTGCCCCAGTAGCACGGGTGTCATGGTGCCTCAGTAGCACGGGTGTCATGGTGCCTCAGTAGCGTGGGTGTCATGGTGCCCCAGTAGCACGGGTGTCAGGTTGCCCCAGTAGCGTAGGTGTCAGGTTGCCCCAGTAGCATGGGTGTCAGGTTGCCCCAGTAGCATGGGTGTCAGGTTGCCCCAGTCGTGTGGGTGTCATGGTGCCCCAGTGGTGTGGGTGTCATAATGCCCCAGTGGTGTGAGTGTCAGGTTGCCCCAGTAGAGTGGGTGTGATGGTGCCCCAGTGGTGTGGGTGTGATGGTGCCCCAGTGGTGTGGGTGTCATAATGCCCCAGTGGTGTGGGTGTCACGATGTCCCAGTCGTGTGGGTGTGATGGTGCCCTAGTGGTGTGGGTGTGATGGTGCCCCAGTGGTGTGGGTGTGATGGTGCCCCAGTGGTGTGGGTGTCATGGTGCCCCAGTGGTGTGGGTGTCACGATGCCCCAGTCGTGTGGGTGTGATGGTGCCCCAGTGGTGTGGTTGTCATGGTGCCCCAGTGGTGTGGGTGTGATGGTGCCCCAGTGGTGTGGGTGTGATGATGCCCCAGTGGTGTGGGTGTGATGATGCCCCAGTAGAGTGGGTGTCATGGTGCCCCAGTGGTGTGGGTGTCATGGTGCCCCAGTGGTGTGGGTGTCATGGTGCCCCAGTGGTGTGGGTGTGATGGTGCCCCAGTCGAGTGGGTGTCATGGTGCCCCAGTGGTGTGGGTGTCATGGTCCCCCTGTGGTGTGGGTGTCATGGTGCCCCAGTCGAGTGGGTGTCACGATGCCCCAGTGGTGTGGTTGTCATGGTGCCCCAGTAGAGTGGGTGTCATGGTGCCCCAGTGGTGTGGGTGTGATGATGCCCCAGTAGAGTGGGTGTCATGGTGCCCCAGTGGTGTGGTTGTCATGGTGCCCCAGTTGTGTGGGTGTCATGGTGCCCCAGTGGTGTGGTTGTCATGATTCGATACTGGTCACCATCGTACAGCTGCAATTATTGAGTAGGGCAATAAAGAAACCAAAACAAGCTTCTACTCTATGGATAAGTTACCACCATTGTAACCACATCTCAAGTAGATGAAGAAGTTGCTGTCGATACCATTCCTTGTGTTTTAGATGTTCTTAGAAGATGGTGGTTATTTGCCTCTTATAGCTTGTGTTGATTTGGATTTTTCTTTGTACATGTGTGAATGAATTGTAATAGATTAGCTGTAATTTTACATTTTAATTTCGATGATTTGGTTTTTTTCTGCAGGTGAAAAAATAAATGTCATTGCGTTGGCTGCCATGCGTTAATACTCTCATTTAGATTTGACACCGGCTGTATACAACGGGAGGGATATACCTTGGTCTCTCTATTTGTGAGTCCTGGAGACTCCGTGGGTCTTCATAATGTGTCAAGTCAAACACTGTATTGATGTATACAGTCAGATTGGTGATGAGTCTTGATCTACCACTATGGAATATCATACGGCATGCATAATCTAATCAAGGATGTGATTGGTTTTCTCATTGTCTGAAACATGGGATATCCATGACTTTGTAATTGTCTGAAACATGGGACAGACGTGACTTTGTAATTGTCTGAAACATGGGATATCCATGACTTTGTAATTGTCCGAAACATGGGACAGATGTGACTTTGTAATTGACATAAACATGGGACAGACATGACTTTGTAATTGTCATAAACATGGGACAGACGTGAATTTGTAATTGTCCGAAACATTGGACAGATGTGACTTTGTAATTGTCCGAAACATGGGACAGACGTGACTTTGTAATTGCCCGAAACATGGGACAGACGTGAATATGTAATTGTCCGAAACATGGGACAGACGTGACTTTGTAATTGCCCCAAACATGGGACAGACGTGAATTTGTAAGTGTCCGAAACATGGGACAGACATGACTTTGTAATTGCCCGAAACGGACAGACGTGACTTTTGTAATTGTCCGAAACATGGGACAGACGTGACTTTGTAATTGTCTGAAACATGGGACAGACGTGACTTTGTATTTGTCTGAAACTTGGGACAGACGTGACTTTGTAATTGTCTGAAACATGGGACAGACATGACTTTGTAATTGCCCGAAACATGGGACAGACGTGACTTTGATGTAATGTCTCAAACATGAGACAGATGTGTTTTTGTAATGTCCGAAACATGGGACAGACATGACTTTGTAATTGTCTGAAACATGGGACAGACATGACTTCGTAATTGTCTGAAACATGGGACAGAAGTGACTTTGTAATTGTCTGAAACATGGCATAGACATGACTTTGTAATTGTCCGAAACATGGGACAGATGTGACTTTGTAATTGTCTGAAACATTGGACAGACGTGACTTTGTAATTGTCTGAAACATGGGACAGACGTGACTTTGTAATTGTCTGAAACAATGGATAGACATGACTTTGTAATTGTCCGAAACATGGGACAGACGCGACTTTGTAATTGACTGAAACATGGCATAGACATGACTTTGTAATTGTCCGAAACATGGGACAGACGTGACTTTGTAATTGTCTGAAACAATGGATAGACATGACTTTGTAATTGTCTGAAACATGGTACAGAAGTGTCTTTGTAATTGTCCTAAACATGGGACAGACATGACTTTGTAATTGTCTGAAACATTGGACAGACATGACTTTGTAATTGTCTGATACATGGGATAGACGTAACTTTGTAATTGAATGATACCTAGAATTGCCTCAGGGTAGGATTGTTGCAGCGTGACGAAGCAGTTCATGCTCCGCCTGTCCATCCTGGAGTTGTGCTTTGAGTGCTGGTACATGCACACACCTACCTGTGCCACTGTCACCGGCAGCAACCGCTATGCAGCAGCCAGTGGAGGCAAACATTGCCACACCCTGACAGCTAATACCTTCATCACGATGTCGGGAGCTGGTCGGCCATTGATTTGTACAGACATACAAGAGCTAGAGCGTTGTGTGTCATATTTACTTTCCATGGAATGTGTCTCTCTCTCTGTTTCTTTGGTGGAGTTGTAACTTAGGGCTATGAGGTATTATGACTTATGTGTGGGGTAACTTAGGGCTATGAGGTATTATGACTTATGTGTGGGGTAACTTAGGGCTATGAGGTATTATGACTTATGTGTGGGGTAACTTAGGGCTATGAGGTATTATGACTTA